GATTCAGCCCCTGGAATCCAGCTAAGTGCTGTTTTTAGATACCAAAATACTTCCCTGGATCTCAGCCTTAGAGCACGTGTTAGACCAATTCGAGGGCAGTCTGGAAATGTGATCAACATGCAAAACACTGACGGCCAGGACTTCCTGGGGACTGAAGGCTAGCCGTACCCAAGTCTGACACTGCGCACGCCCTGGTGCTGCACAACATCAACTCATTGCATTTTTCTGCCTTTGGAATACAAAACTAAGTGCCGCTAGCGGATGCTTACAGCTGCGAGTAATACAAATTAAAAAAATGTAAATGAAGAGCTTGCTGAGGTCTAATTTACGTGTCAGTAAATATTTCTACAGTGCTGGGATACAGCGATCACCATATGCCAAACCACTGTATGCATCTCTGCGTCTTCGTTATTAAAGGAAATGGAGCACAGCCTCACTCTCAGGGCTAGGATTACATACTTAAAAAACCTCCAAAAACCCTCCAAAAACCTTCCTGGACTTTTTTCCTTGTGGGTGAAAAGTTTCTCAGACTCCAGAGCTATAAAGGTAGAAACTTTGAATCTCTGAATTGGGCTATTAAAGCTTTTGCTTAGGGTCTAAATAACAAAACACCTTCCAAAACGGCAGCGGTGCGGTATATTCACAACATCCTGCTGCCACCTAGCGGGCGTGACGCCGCACTTTACCAGGGCTTGTAAATAATTTGCTGCAATGATTTATGTCTCCAACTTACCACTCCTGTTTTTACAATTCTGGTCCCCTCAAAAATTCGAGTTGTGTTAGCTGCGGAAATAAAGAAGAGTCATTGTTCAGCACATTATGAAGGCACATGGTACAACGTGAAGCTGCTGAAATGCAATTCTTGCTACAACATTTCTTGGCAAGTGGAGACAGCCTAAAACTTCGTACACTGGAGAGCCATTGCTATCAAGCCTGCTGACAGATGACTATGGGGAAGAGAGGCAGTCACATAGGCTGGGAACCAAATACTAGCAGAAAATCCCAGAAGCGGCCTGCTTTGCATAGCTAAGTCCTTCAGGCCTCAAATACACCACGGGTAAATCCAGAGTAAGTTCGGGATTTTCAGACACAGTTGCCTGAAGATACTCACCTAAAACCATAGTCCTGTTGGCATGCAAATCTGTGCATCTCACGTTACCCACTCAGCTTTTTCAGCTTTGAAAGTGGCAGCTTTAGTGCATTGATTAAGGAACGATATGATCTTGCTCAACCACACATCAGGTGAAATGATATGGTTTGCTTGTACAGGGATCATCATAGTCGCTTTCTGGCCTCAAAATATATTAAACCTTTGTTTATTGCAACTTATCCTCATGCAGCGATAATCTGAACCTGGTCCCTGGTATTTAGAATTAATACCAGAGTGTCTGAGTTTCATTAACTGGACTGACATTATATTTACTTCTCTAAGCAGTAGGAAGATTTGCATCCCAGAGCTGTCGGTTTGTGACAGCACGGAAGAGGCAGGCAGAAATACACACCAGGCTCTTTTGTAATGATTGTTTGTACTTAGGTACATATATCAGCGTTTGGCTGAGACCGCTTTGTGTAAATGATGGATTTAGAAATTTGTTTTAATCCTTTGAAATAGGGCCCACAATCATATACATGTTTTTACATTAGTTCTTATTGATCATTAAAAATGTGTACAGGGCGAAGAAAACATAACTGATGCCCATTATCTACATCACCAAACTGAATCATGATATTTTATTCACTATTTGAATCAGCCGATTCCACCGCCAGCCCTTGCCAGCAGTCAGCGTTTGCTACCACGTTAAGTTTCTGGCAGGACGCGGTTCCTAGCAGCACAGAAGTGAAATGCAGAATGTGAAGAAACAGGAAGTGGGATTATTTTAAAACGTTGATCCTGACGCCAGTTGAAAAGCGGAGGCACATTTCGGTTTTTGGGCAAAGCAGAGAAGCACAAATAAACTTCCATGGTAGCATCTGCTTATCGACAGCAGCGCAGACCCCGACGTGGAACGGGCATGGCTGGTAATGGAGAGGGGCTTTTCTGCTGCGATCTAGTGGGCATCACAATCAAGGTGCGCAGGACCAGTCTCTGCTTAAAGCCCACCGGGATCCAAATTTCTGATTCCGGCTCCCTCTCAAGCTGCCCTTGCAAAGCCACAGGCAAGATCCGGGTACCTCAGCTACCATGGTGATAAGGCAGCATAAAAGATGCTGATTAGAGATGATAGCTCTTGCCTGGCACCCTGCTCTCCCCCGATGTTGGTGAGAACACGGTGCTTGCCGGGGGAGTCTGACGCAGAGTGAATTGTGCCCACTGCCTGACTTCTCATAGACTGCTTCAGCTGTTAAGGACTGTCAGATTAACCATGTCTGAAACCTCCCTGTTCTCCAAAGGTCACCCTTAAAAATGTCTCTGTTAATTTGTTCGGTAGATTACATCTGACTCAAGTGATTTAACTCTTTGCTTTTCTTGAGAGCCAGCCCTTGGCAGACGGTGCTTCACTTCTGCCTTGCTAAGTCTCTCTCCTGTGCAGAGGTGCCCACCATGGAGGGATTTGTGCTTTCTATGCCACCCCCAAAAAAGCAAAGTGAGCAGTGGACGAAGGTGGGAGCGTTAGCAGTTCTGTTTTAAAGTTAAAAAAAGGAAACCTTTGCCACTTGAAAGGCCTCTCTATGATCTCACACTGATGACATGGCACCAGAATAACGTGGCAGCAGCTGATGGAGGAGGGCTCCACGGGCACCTCTACCCCTGATTTATATTTGTGTTTGGGGAATCAGTGAGGTGGTGCACAGCGGACAGGCACAGGGCTGCCTTGGCCAGGCCGGGTCTTCTGCCATCCTTCGCCTCCTACGAACTCGCCAGGCCTCACCCTTGCTACGTGAGGAATGCAGCTGCAGGAATTCCTATTGCACAGCAGCAAACCCTGCTAGATTTGATTTATTTGCTAAAGTAATTAGCCAGTGGCTGATTTAAAAAAAAAAAAAAAAAAGAGCTGCTGCATTTTTATGCTCAGATTTGCAAAATATGCTGATCAGCACTCTCTAAGCTCATGTGCACCATTTCAAAAATAGCAATTAGACCAGATTTATACACTAACACACACACACACACACAGACACACAGACACAATCAGGTTTAGTACCAGGAAGGGCTTGTTGTATTCAGCAAATCCAAGGTTCTCAATCTTGTGGAAAACCTGGGCTCAAGAAATGGGCCTTGCAGGATTATTAAATCCAGGTTTTGACGAGCTAGAAAGGGGAAGCAATTGCAGACAACCTATCCCCAAAGAGACACTGCAAGGAAAGTCCCCTTTATCTGAATAAGAGTTTTACTAACTCCAGCGGCTGGTGTTGGGAAACCAGTGCTGTTTAGAAACACTCAAACTGCTGGTAAAATTATTCCACATAGACAGGGAGGGCAGCAAGAAGAACGTTAAACAGAGAAAAAAGAGCCGTGTCATTTGAAAAGGAATTTGGTTTTTTACCTTGGAAAAGCATTGTCTGGCTAAAGTCACTACGCATGTCATTTCGGCACACTGCTTGAACTCTGAACAGATAAAGGATGTCAGGTGAGACATGGCTAATGATGGCTTTCTGTTTAAAAAAAATAGATGTTATTCAGTTTTTTTCCCCCCACAAGGACTCTGCATGATCAATTTGTCACATATAGAGCACGGCGCTAACACAGAATTTGCATGGCACACGGGGCAAACTTATGTCTAGCGGGGAGCCGTCAAGCCTGTGCAGAGCACCCGGTCAAGGACGCGGGACGTCGGCTGTGCGCAGAGCTCACGCTGCCTCTCCAGACAAGGGAGAAGTTGCAAAGTGCATTCGCCCCCGCGCTACCTTTCACTTCATGTGTGCTGCTCTTCCCTCTGCTCTGAGAAACTGCAAATCAGGTACCTGACCTTTTACAAATGAAAATCGAAGTTCTGTAGTGGGAAGGGGCAATTCTCATTGATCCCCTTCTACAGTAACAGCCAGCACAGTATCGAGGCCAGGAGCTTCGTTTTGCAGTAACAGCGACAGTTGCGGCAGTTTCCTGCATGCAATGACGATGGAAGATTGCCACCCGTGGCCACGCTGGAAATCATCTTCCAGGCCCTCCCGCAACGGAGGTATTTGCACAGGCATGCTACTGCGTCCAAGGGGCTGCTCTGCTATGCAGCCGCTCCTTCTCCATGTGCTCCTTGGCCCCCATGAACAGCCCATGCCTGCCTGGGAGTGATGAGCATCGACCACGCTGCATCCCCATGCTTGCAATGCTAGCGCACTTTTTACTACTGCACAGTCCAGTCTAGCCTAAGACATTGCAGGTAATTGGATTTCCCTAATTGTCTCTTCCACAATCCTTTGAGAGCAAATTGTTTCACTGTCAAAGGGTGTTTATCTGCTGTGGCTTTCACCCGTGCTCCCCAACTAAATGAGGGCTGTGTCCGTCACCTCTGACCCCACTCTCCAGCCGGGGGGCTTAGGGCAACTCACTTCAAGCTAGCCCTTCATTGCATTCTTTGCACATTTAATTGTTTTCTTACATAAAACTAGACATTGCATTTGTCCCTCAATCGTTTTTGCCGATTAATGTACTCCATCCTGATTGCTGATAAAAAAAAAATCTCCCTTAAGAGCATGAAGTTATGACAAGGGAGAGGTTATAATACATCATAACCTTGGGTGTCTTTCAATAGATTCCTCTCTGATTTCGTGAAGCACATCATTCCCTAATGTGACCCAGATAACAATGTCTAGTGGGGAAATTGAAAATATAAATGGAAATGAAGTAAAAGAATCTTCATCTAAGGGAATAAGAGAAGTATTATTCTATAACTGATTGAATGGGCCCAGAGGACTGTGTATTTCAAAAAAAAAAAAAAATGATAACAGTCGTTAGGAATTTCACTCTCTGCTGCTGCATTTTTCATGTGCATATACAATTACTGATTTCATTATTGCAGAGCCTTTCTTTGATTAACAATAAACTGAGGCCTTTCAAACCTGAATATGTCACTTTGATTTTATATGCAGAGAATGTTAAAAGACTAGTGGAAGCAAGGACTGCACTTGGACAAGAATGACAAAGATCCAGTCCCAAATGGAGGGGACGGCTTGGTATTTCCGTCTCTGCTGGAAAGGTTCGGCCTCTCTCCGAGACTCCTCTGATCAGCAGCTGAGGAATCTCAAGCACTTCCTTTTTTGCCGGTGGAGCGAAGGCCATTGTACGCTCCGCGCCTAGGCCGTGCCCTTGGCGATGCTACCCGGGGAGTGCTTACTAGGAGACAGTCCCGATGGACTTCAGCTGAGTATTGCACAGTGGTAGGCTCTAGCCCAGCAAGGCACTTTTCAGGATCAGGCCTTTACTTTGGAGATCTATGAATTGAACATCAGCCAAAAGGTTTTCAGAGTGGTTTCAAGCTAGAGTCCCCAGCACATGGAAAGGAATTTGCCAACCTCTTTCCTTTCATGCTCATGCCAGCTTATTCATAGCGGCGTCCTGGGGAGACTGGTCTGCAGCATTCAACAAATGCTGAGTCTTTTAACATAATGAATACAAATGAAAACCTAACCTTTCACTCCTGCAGCCAACACCCTCCTACCCTACCTCTTCCTACTGAGAACGATACAGTGAGAGTTGCTTAAGACTAATGGCAATAGCTGATGCTGTAGTTTTACCAGGTCCTTGTCACTGTCCTTGGTGAAAGTCTTCTCCTTTTCATCTTCGTTTTTAGTCCAGCTGTAGGAAATCATATAGTTCACAATGGGAGGGTGGTAGATAATCTCAGGTTGGTTCCAGGTCACTAGCAAGGCGGTTTTGTTCACAGGCTGAACTTTCATGTTGACAGGTGGAGTACTGCAAGCTAAAAGAAAAGGGGACAAATGTGAAACTCTGCACCACTCGCTGCAGGAAAGGAACATCGGGGAACCTGGCTCCTGAAATGTGTGGTCTTTTTGCAAACTGGGTCGGTTGCAAATGGTTTGGAACATGCACAAAACCTGCAGTCCTAACATCCGCACGCATACCCTAGCTGCATAACTTTCAGAGCTCTGCATGCACGCACGTGAGAGTCCGCACACGGCATTAAAAATCCAGAACTCAGCTTCCTTGGACCAGAGCTTCCTAATGTATAAAACAGACATCATAATCATCCTCTGCCTTGCAGGATGGCCAAGTGGGTTCTTTTCAACCCATTAGCAAATGTGAAACTAAGGGTCTTTCACACTCCTCACCCTAGGTTTCCCTGAAAGGCTTCTCAGTTGTCTTGTCATTCAAATACCGTGGTAGGAAAGAAGAGCATGACTGCTACAGGACCTTCATCCGCACACCCTCCCACTCCCCTCACAACCAACCTCTCTGCCAGACAGTGCTGGGATAGCGCATGGAGATGCCGACTTGCCTAACCCTAGCCACCTCCACCTGGAAGCTGTGGCTTTTGTCACCTACTTGGGACTTAGAGATGCTAGAGGTTGCTGTGCGTTCAGAGCAGTCTGGGGGTTGACGCGTGCGTGCACACAGGGATCGGGGGTGAGGAGACAGGAGAGGACATCCTGGGAACCTTTCCCCCGGAGGAAGAAATGCCAAGCATCTTCTTATCCCAAATGCCAACCAATGCCCACTCCAGGAAGACCGAGTCTGGACACTAACCCACTGAATTTGTTTAGAGCAGGAGCAAATTAAGAGGTCCCCCAATGACCAACAGAAATGTTTTTCAAGTAAGAAAATGCGAAGGCCAATATACTAATGGGGAACACTAGATGGCACTAATATGCTATCAATAAAGTCCGCACAGTTTTCCTTTTACAAGGCCTTTATATTTCTCCCCAGCTTTAAAAGTCACGATTTAAATGTGTAATTCTGGACAGATTCTCACTCCCTGTCTTGGAAGCCAAACCCTGAGCCAAGAAGAACGGCATACAGGAGGTACCTCAAAGCATGCAAGGATCTGGCCTTCAGGGATGGAAAGACTCCACTTTGCTAGCCACGGCTGTTCCTCCTTCTCTGACCGCTCATTTCAAGTCCACGCAGCTGCCATCCATTTGCTTTGTGTGCGTGTGCACGAGTGTGCGCACGTGTGTGCATGCGTGACTACAGAAGAACCTCTGCTGCGCTAAGACTTCCTAAGTGCTGGTTTCCACCTTGTCCTTGTAACATTTTAAACAAGCACCTCCCGTTTGTGGATAAAAATGGGCTCCGAACAATTAAACGCCTTAAACACTAGTATTACCGCAGTAATGGGCATGTTCGGTGCACTCTACGCACTTGTAATCTGTCTTTCATAGGAAATCCATAGACAGGGAGAAAACAGAATAACATCTTCTCACGGAAAGATTTCTGGAGAGGGAAGAACCGTGACATTTGCCCCTTTTGTGAGTGGAGTTCGGAGTTTGCCGCACGCCCGTATCTATCCCCTGCAGAAGCCACGGGTGGGATAAACCCCCTGCACTTTCACGTGCGATTTATTTACTTACCAGCAGAATAAAAATCCTATTTCTTTGAAGAG